ACCAGTGTTGTATGGCAGTGCTCATACAGGGTCAGCCATAGCACCTAAGGACTTCAAGGTTACTAGTGCTTTGCCCTGACAGGTCGTAGAAGGCCCTGGAGATTTAGTCTTCTGAGCCCCAAAGATCCAAGAGGTCCTATCCTCAAAGAAAAAAAGATCAGTGCATGAACTCAGGTGATCCAGAAAGAAACTAAGAGGGGCTGTCCACTCTAAACAAGAAACACGGGGAGGTATAGAGCGTGGTCCTGGAACAAAGACCCTCTTCAGGAACTAAAGTTGGAAAAATGAGTAAGACAAAGATGACATGAATCAGTATCAACAATTAAAGCTCATGGGGCAGCTAGGTGGTGCAGTGGATAGAGCACTGGCCCTGAGGTCAGGAGGACCTGAGTTCAAATGCGGCCTCAGACACTTGACACTTACTAGCCTAGCTGTGTGACCCTAGGCAAGTCGCTTGCAATGTGGTTGCATTGCCTAGCAAAAAACAAATAAACAAACAAAAATTATAGCTCCTGAGATCTGCCCCTCTCCGCCCCTCCCCACCCCAATAAAAGAGAGTAAGTCTGTAGCAACTACAAGCAGAGACTTACAGGGGAAAATGGATTTTCTACAAGGAGAAGAAATGAAATAAGAGATTAAAAAGTGAAATAAAAGCTCTTGTGGAAAGAACTAAGAGAATAAGTAGTCTAATTTAGAAGGGAAAAATGGTCAACCTTATCCAAGATAGGGGCTTTTTGAAATCAATGACTCCATGATCAAATAAAATGATATTTGTAAAGCACTTAGCACAGTGTCTGATACATATTGGTGCTATATAAATTCTTCCCATAAGAGAGAAATATTAGAACAATATTTAAATATTTTAAAAATAGAAGAAAATATAAGAAATCTGACATCAAAATCAACTGACTGGGAAAGCAGGTTAAGGAGAAATAATTTAAGAAATCGTTGGACTTTTTGAAAACCCTTATTTTTAAAAAGTCTGGGCACTATGTTCCAAGAAATCACAAATGAATCTACCCAGATCTGTTAGAACCTTAGGGCAAAATAAAGATGAAAAGCGTTTATCAATAACCTCCTGAAGGAACCCCAAAAGGAATTCCATGAATGTCACAGCCGAAATCCAGAGCTCCCATATTAAAGAAAAAATACTGCAAACATTCAGAAAGAGGCAGTTCAAGTACCAAGGAACCAAGAGCTCTCCTCCAAGAGCTGGGTTGGATTCCGTTATGCACATTATTGGACATGGCCACTGTATGGCTTAGCTTTCCTTAATTATTCTTATTTGTTTAAAAAAAAGTGGTGGTTGTTGTTGTGTCTCTTGTTTTTTAAAAATTACATTGGGGCAGATATTGAGAGGGAGGAAGGGGTTAGTAATAGTGACATCCTCCCAAATTTAGGGCCATTGCTTAAAATACACATGAAAGAACAGAAGAACTTTAGAAGGAAAAACAGACAAATGGATAAGTTTTGAAAAGAATGTGCGTTGTTTATTATATACTTTAAAAAAAAGAAAAGCAAGCAATATCAAATGGAGATTCATGGTTTCATTAAAATTCCTTTTTTGTGTTCAAATGTGTATTTATGGAAATGTTCTTTTTGTATGTCAGTTCAAAATAAAAAATAAAATTAATTTAAAATTTTAAAATCAGAGTTATGAGACCATAGATGTGGAACACTGCCTATAATATCAGATTTTTTAAAATATGTTGGTTAATTTTCTCAAAATTTTTTAAATTTTTATTCTTTATAAGAAAGGTAAGTTAAAACAAAATGTCTATAAAATTTCATTTAAAAATAAAGATTAGTGAGAAAGATAATTATATCTAGGTATAGCAAGAATTTATCTAAAATTTTTATCAGATGCTTTACCAACTTTTTCTCCATTCAATTGTACTACTATAATTATTGAGGTTAAAATTTAGCTGTTATGCAATATCAAAACTGCCATGAAGCCTGTGGAGTCTATCCAAATATTCTGAGCCTTTAGTTAAACAGTGATAGTTCTTAACTTGCTAAATTTAAAGCCTAGTTGGAGACCCAGGGCAAATGGCCCTCCTGTTCCCCACTTATGAATGGCTTTGCCAGTGATAGCCCATAAGGCTACTTCTATAATCCTCTTTATCTAAGGCAGTGCTCACCATATTTGCTTTCTCTTTTGCTAGACAGTATTGGAAGGATCAACATTGCCTGTAAATGTATTTTGTGTGTGTGTGTGTGTGTGTGTGTGTGTGTGTGTGTGTGTGTGTGAGAGAGAGAGAGAGAGAGAGAGAGAGAGAGAGAGAGAGAGAGAGAGAGAGAGAGAAAGAGAGAACGAACATCCATCCTGTCCTTTATCTAAAGAGACCTTTATCTAGAAATCTTTCAGGGTAAGTGGAACAAATAGTAATCTGAGTGAGAGATACAAAGCGTGCCCTCAGTTGAGCAGAGTAAAGCAGATCCTAGTCCTACATTTTTTAGATTCTTATTTTGACCAGTTGCTCAATTCCAGCTTAACTGGTAAATGAGAATCACTGGGGATAGTGAGCAGGTCTTGGAGGCAGAAGACTTGGGTTCAAGTCTTACCATGGCCATATGCTGGCTGTTAAATTTTAGGTAAATCAGTTAACATCTCAGTACGCCTAAGCAACATTCTGAAGCTCTAAATTGCCAGGAAGGTGCCCATCTGCACTGGCATAGGAAGATCTTCAATGGGAGCTACCTAAACCAATAAAATCATGGGTTTGGCCCATTCTTGCTAAATAAATGCTGATCTCTGTTACTTCTACCTACTGAAAAACTTCCAATTTTGGGAGTACCTGCTAATTCATTGTCCTGAGCCAAAGCCCAGTGACCTCATCTTAGTTACAGTTTTGGTCCCATAACACTGGAAAGCAGGGGAACACAGATTGCTCTTTTCCACAAACTCTCCTTGGCTCTCTTGGCCTTTCTCTTTGCTCTCAATTCCTACCACTCGTTTCCACCCCTCACTGAGAAAGATGATTACTCACAAAGACAATTCAAGCACAGAAATAGCCAACCTATTTGTAGCTTAAATGCTGGCAGTTTTATTTTTACAGAATTGCTGTATTTTCTCTAAGTATAAATCATTATCTACCACAAATGAAACTCAAGTTCCATCTGTAACAGTTCCTGCCTAACTAGTGGTGCCAATTAGTCACAAAAACAATTGTCACCTTCTACTACCCACTCAAGAAGGGAGGGGAAAAAAAAGAGATTCATTTCACCCAGAGTTTCCATTTCTCACTATTGGTCACTCTCTCCTCTTAACCAGGTTGCCACTCCAGCTTCCAGCTGGTCCTTTCCTCTTTCACCCTCTGGCTAGGATTGTACTAATCAATCTCTGCTGCCAGTATGGACAGACTCTTCTGTTCTTTTAAGAGTTGTTAGAGCAAACTGGTAAGTCGATCAGTTCTGTTGACTTAAATAATGATACCATAGGCTCTCTTCCAGTTGTAAGTTCTGCCTAAGGTTTCACAGCCCCAAGAGGAACAGAATGAATCTTTCACAAAATCTGGATGGTCTTTCATGCCCTGAAAAAAAATTAATGAAAAGCAAGAAAGCAGGGAAGTTCTTTCTGTCTTTCTTTCTCATTTCCCCTCTCTTTGTTCTTCCCTGCCTTCAGTGTTTCTTATTTGTAACTGCCCCCCCCCATATCCCCAATTTGCCTATTATTTTTATTCTATCATTATTGTCCTCGCGTATATGTATAGGAGTGTCATATGTGTCTGTCTCATCTCTATCTTCATTTGGGAGATTTGCCTTGTAGCTTGCCTTGTTTTGATGATTCCCCATGTTCAGTTTCCACACTTTGTCTAAGAAATGCCAACTGCTCCAGTGGACAGGACTGTCACTTACCTGGAGGAATAAGAATCAGGTAATGGAAGTGTGTTCCGTGAGTCTGTGGGACTGACTTGGCCAGTTTTGACTCTATGTGACATAGGCATGTTTGGAGGCAAGTGGAGTTCCCCGATTTGGGCTGGGGTTGAGTGGTTTTAGGGGCTGACTTGCCTTTTTTTATTTCCTTTTTTCTATAGGAAGACCAGAGCAGCAGGTCTGTCTTCCAGTGACAACCTTGGCTCCCATTCTTTTGTGTGTGTTTGGTCTTGATTATTGTGGAAAACAGACTGAAGAAATGTGATTTCAGAGCTATTTGTTTACCATAGAATGTGGAGTTCCTTTCTCTCCTTTTTGATATCTGATCAATTCTCTAGGTCATGTACTGCTTCTCATGCTGTTGACTCTATCCACTGGCTTATGACCAGTTTGAAGATATAAGGAAAAAGGGGAAATGATCTTTCTTTGGCCATTTATTATGATTCTGGCCCTTCTTATTATTTACTCTGAGGCAAAAGTGCTCTGATATTCTACACCTCACCCTCAAGGGGATTTGGATTAGGTCTAATTGCCATTTAGTATATTGGCAGAGGGAAGGTGATGGGAAAGGAGAAACACTTACATGTAAGTGAATAGACCTTAGCTTTCTGATTGCATAGGAAGAGATCTGAATTCTGATTTTAGTGTTTGCTCCCAGGACGAAGTTTTCAGAGCACTCTGATATAGCCTTCACTGCTATCTCCAACCACCTGGCTAACTAAGTGGTTTTTCTGGTATTCATCCAGTGGGTCACTTTGCTCTTACAGACTGCATTGTGCATATGGTAGCCAGAAAAGAGATATGGGAAGGAGCTGCTTTTCTCCTGTTGAATTTTGCCCTTCCTATTAACATGTTTTTAGGTCATTCATCCCTTTGTCCTTCATATCATAGTGATTGGTCCCCAGCTGGCCCTCGCTGGGGTTCGAAGCAGGTCCATTTTCATATGTCACTCTCTCCTTCATACCTACTCCAGTTCAGTGTGAAGATTTTCCCTCAGATGTGTCACTGAATGATGCCATTGGAAGCATAGCTTCTGCTGATAAGCGTGGGACCATCTGCTTGGCACTTCGCAAATATTTTCAGTCGTGGGAGAGCAGCCCTTTATTTCAGTAGAGAAAGGAGGCTCCAGCCACACTTCAAAGAGAGGCTGAGGTTGGAGACCCTCCGACTGAAGGGTGGGGTAGGAGGGGAAATCTGCACCCTCTGGATGGATGCCCCAGGATGCTGAAGAGGATCCTTCCCATGGGCATCTCTGGACCCTCCCATGAGGATAATATTAGTAAGTCTCTCCTCCTATTTTAATTATTCAGGTGTTTTTTTAACCACAGAAAAAAAGAAAAACTATCATTCAGAGAAGTGCTTCTGTGCTGGTCACTCCATCATGTATTAGGTGTTTGCTTGTTGGTGTGTGTTGTCAGTCAGCTCTCTCAGTTCCACGCTGTTATTTCGGAGTGCTTTGTCATTAACTACTAGTTGTTTTTGGTCAGGTGTTTTATACCTTCCCCAACCTTCCTTGAAAATCGCCATTAGGCGACTTCTCCTTGACCCACGTCAGGAGGTGAAGGTTTTAAGATTAAATCTTGGTTGGTGGAGTCCAAGTTGTAAAAGTGGCTTTCTAAAGAACTCCTTTCTGGCCAGGTGTTTGCACTGATTCAGGATTGGGGGTTGGGAGGGGACTGTTGTTCCCTTTGCCTCCCCACCCTTCAGTGATATTACTAGGCAAAGTTTTGGAGTGTTGATTGAACAAAGTATGCAATAGCACATGTCAGGGAGAGAGCCTGATGTGTTAGGAAGAGTGTTGAATTTGGATTGGGGATGAGTTCATGCACTACCTGTGTGACCTTGGGCAAGTCACTCCCCTTTAAAATGAGGGGATTGGACAAAATGTCTTCTGAGGTTTCTTCCAGCTCTAGATTTATGAACCTATGATTTCTGGGCTCCCTGCCAGCTCTAAATGGACGATCAAAGAAGAGCAGAATTTACTTGGCTTCTCTCTTTGCTTTCAGATACAAAGCATCAGCACTGGCTTCGTGGTTTATAGAATCAGAAGAGCAATTATTGATGGCAAAGTTTCTGATAAAAGAAATTTCTAAGTCTTAATCTTGAGTGTCAGCATCTTAGTGACACTGACTAGGCAAGGTGCCTGAAGCTGATTTAGGTCATTCAGTGTGTGGCGTTGGAGTTACGAATAAGAGGTTAACATTGTAGGGGTAGATCTAAGACCAGGAGACAGATTTCTGGAACGCCTCTCTGGAACTCTATTTTCATTTCGTTCAGTTCGGTTTGTTAAATAAGGATCCTGAGGCAGCGTGGAATTTGGGAGCTCAGTAGCATGGAAGTGTTGGAGGGGAGTTGCTAGTGTCTTCAGTCTCCCCAGAAAACAACAACAAACTTTAGAGATACTTTCTCTTGAATTATTTCCACTGTTTTTCTCTTGTCTACTCTTTCTTGTTTTCCCTTTTAGTTTCTTTCTGCCTGAAAAGTAAATACAGCTTACACATCTGCCAGGGCACAACCTGATCAAACTTTACTTTTGAAAGAAATATTCATACCTAACTTCCCTACATATTGAATAATTTTTATAACCTAGTATTATAGGTATACATATATATATATATATATATATATATATATATATATATGATTCGTATATTGGCAAATTGCTCTATAATCTCTTTTTTTCATCTTTTAAAAATGTTTTCATTTTATTTTTACAAAATTTACCGAGTTTTAATAGCACAGTCGTTTGCTGATATACCTCCCATTATACTCTGACTTGTGATAAAATCAATTATTCCAAACCACCTGAAAAAAAAATGACCATGTCTAGCAGTTCATGTAACATTCTACTCTACCTCTCTCCCCAAAGAAGAGAAGTGGGTTTCATCAGTGGACACTGCGATTAACCTGTGTTCTGTTGCCTTTTTGTGTCATTTGCATTTACGTTATTAGAGTCATTGTGCATGTGACACTCCTGGCTCTGCTTAGTTCTGCTCTATATAAGTTCATACAAGTCCTCCCGTGTTTCTCTGCGATTCCTCATATTCATTTGTTTCTCAGAGAACAATACTATTACATTTCAGACATATATCTCAGTTTGCTGAGTTATTGCCTTGTCATGGTATGTCTTTGTAGGTTTGTTTGTTTTTTGGTGAGGCTATCAGGGTTAGGTGACTTGCCCAGGGTCACACAGCTAGTAAGTGTCAAGTGTCTGAGGCTACATTTGAACTCAGGTCCTCCTGACTCCAGTACCAGAGCTCTATTCACTGCGCCACTTAGCTGCCCCATGTCTTTGTATTTTCTTAAAACCACTCTGAGAAATATGTCTTAAGAAGTATTATCCCTATGTTGTCAGGGATGAAATGAGAAGGAAAGACTAAATTACCCCAAAAAGGACATGCACTCCATAGCCTGGGTAGAATTAAGACCTAAGTAGAATCAGCCTTAATACACAAAAGGCAGTTGATAATATATTATTGGAGGTCCAAAAAGGTTCCCTTAGTCCAAAATCATCCCTCCTACCCAGGTGCTACGTTGCCTAGAATTCTACCATTAACATGAATTTATTTTGTGTGTTAAGAATTCCCCCTCTTAAAAACTTGGTGGTCCTGTTTTGTTTTGTTTTGGTTTTTTGTTTCTTTGTTTGTTTGTTGTTTTGCCGAGGCAGTCAGGTTTAGGGGACTTGCCCAGGGTCACACAGCTAGTAAGTGTCAGCTGTCTGGAGCCACATTTGAACTCAGGTCCTCCTGACTCTAAGGTCGGAGCTCTATCCACTGTGCCACCTAGCTGCCTTGTGGTCCTGGTTTAAAATGCAGATATCTTTAGGAGAAGTAGCTCTTAGAGTTACTAACACCATAGCGTGAATTAATTTATCCTTTTTCAGAGGTCTGTATGAAAGAGGAAGAGGAATTCTTAGGAAGGAACTATGAAAGTCTTAACAAATAAACCACATGTTTTTCCTCCAGCTCTCTATATTTCTAAGAGATTGTTTAAACTCAGACTTGGTGAGGGGAGAGATGAAATGAGATTCGTTCTTCTTGTTTTCTGGGGGCAGATGCTATCATACTCTTTTTTAGTGTACTACTCACCTAAAAGGATTGTCCTGGTGAGCTAGTTCACTGAGTAGTGTGGTAGAAGTTACACTCAGCCTGAGTTCAGGAGGGACCTGTGTTTGAATTTCATCTCTACAATAACAAATGTGTTCAGTTGGCTTTTTTGTTTGTTTGTTTTGTTTAGTTTTGTTTTTTGAGTCATTTGTAATTCTTTGTGACCTCATTTGGGGTTTTCTTGGCAAAGAGACTGGAGCAGTTTGCCATTTTCCTTCTACAGCTCATTATACAGATGAGGAAACTGAGACAAACAAGGTTAAGTGACTTGCCCAGGGTCATGCCGCTACTAAGTATCTGAGGGCAGGTTTGAACTCAGGAAACTGAGTCTTCCTGACTCCAAGCCTGGCACTGTACCCACTGTACCACCTAGCTGCCCTACAATGACTAATCCTGTGGACCAAATTGTTTGGTCCCTATCAGTTTCTCTGTACTGTGATTGGGAGCTTTTTTGTAACTGAGTTATACTATGTGGCAAGTAGACAAAAAATGTATACTCCAGCTCTCTACGTCTCTTCCAATCTCAAATACTTCAGTTGCAACCCAAATTTCCCAACCTCCTTAAATTTGGCCTTCCATTCATCTCCACGTCCTATGTAATAGGAATGTGCTTTCTAGCATACTTATTAAAATAAAACTCTACAGCAACAGAAATTGCAGAGCCTGTTCAAGAAGGGAGGGTTGTTATAAAAGGATTTTAATCTATATTCTAGTCATAGGCATGTGACAAATTGGCTGAATATCTGATTCACACATTAGAAAATTATTTTAATTAATGATTGTTCCTAAATTCATGCAAGTAGTTTTTTTTTTTTAATATGGGTTCCTCCAGGAGCATTTTGAGTGAGTCTGCTGTCTGTATTCCACTGACTGATTCTTGAAGCAGATAGCGTTGCTGTTCATTATAAGATTCATTGTCATTATCAGTTTCATTATCAGCTCACTCCTACATTTAGTCACATAATCTGATATTTTAACAACAGGCAGTTCATCCTCTCAGTTTCCTGTCCCCTTTTCCAGTAATGTCATTGTCCAGCAAAGCTGTCAATGCTATCAAGCTATCGTGATATGAGGTCAGTCTAGGATGGCTTTAATTGGGTCCTATACAAAGCTTGATGGACTGAGCTATACTTATTAAGGCTTGATATTGATTGACAATTAAGTCAGATGCTGACTGGCGACTCAGAAATAGTGAAGGATGCTTCATTTGTTTCTTCCTCTTTCCCATTTCTTCTTCCTTTTCTTGATTAAGTTCAAGAAAGTTTAAGGAAGCAGGATGAGGATGCTGCCTCTCTAGAAATGCTGGAGCATCATGGGACATTTATTATTTCTTTAGTTTACTGCTTATTCTTTGCCATTTCCATTTCATAAGGATCTGAGACAATGGTACATTGATGAATTTTTAACAATCCACTCTCTAGGAAAAAAATTTTTTATAAGACACACTTTTAAATTTAATCTGCATCATTAATATTTTCTCTGTCACTTTATTAAATCTTATTAAGTGAAAAGAACAGTAAGTTAAACACTTATTTATAGTATTTGCCAATTTCTGAGGTATAAATGTTTACATTGAAAATTTAACAACCACTTCTTGCCTATTCAAGCTGGATCTAGCACATTCCTGATGGGGAATGACTTAATACAAGAATTATGAGGAGGCATTGTATCTGGAACATGGAAGGTTATAATCAGGTTGTAATCTGCCCTAGTCACATCACATTAGCAATCCAATGTTGAGTTTGAGGAAGGTCATTTTGAAACTTGAAGGGTGTCCAGAGGAGTATAGCCAGAGTATTTTGTAAAAGTCCTCAAGATCAAGGCAGCAGTGTCAGATGAAAAAAGGGGGGTTTTGCTGTTTGTTTGTTTTTTTCCTTTTTGGTGAGGCAATCGGGGTTAAGTGACTTACTTGCCCAGTGTCACACAGCTATTATGTGTCAAGTGTCTGAAGCTGGGTTTGAACTCAGGTCCTCCTGACTCCAAGGCCAGGGCTCTATCACTGCACCACCTAGCTGCCCCACATAAAGGGTTTTTTCATCCTAAAATGGAAAACACTTACGTGTAAGGTGTACGAGGGTATGATGGGTTAGCTTCTCATCTGAAGGGCTGTTTTGGAAGAAGTATTAGATGTGTTCTGCCTGGCCCTGGAAGAAAGATCTAGAAGGAAGGGGTAGATGTTATAGAGAGAGTTCAGCCCAATACAGGTGTTGTCTTACAAGGGAATGGATGATCTTATTAAGTATATTAAGTCCTTGGAGCTTGATCAGACATTGAAGACACGAAGGTCATCTGTTGCATTCTGAGCTATCAACAATCATTTTGACTTTTATCCTGCCACTGGACTTTGATGCAGGAAGAGAGAGTGAGGCTAATGATGCTGTGCAACTCTGCCTCACTTACATCTCATTCATGAGCAAGTCAAGACATCACCTGATGATGTCATTGGTCCTCTTCAAAAATGAAGGACGAACAACAAAACAGGCTCATTTTCAGAGGTGAGTGGAACATGTAGAGATATTTAGCTCGATTGGTATCTGAACAAGAATTCACTGTATCACCAACCCTACAAATGACCATCAGCCTTTGCTCAAAGACCTCTAGTAAAGAAGAAGCCATTTTTTACCAGGCAGGCCATTCTACTCTCAGATAGCTTTGTTAGAAAGTTTTTCCTTATATCAAGCTCTGTGTAGCTTCCTCCCTATTGCTCCAAGTTCTGCCCTCTAGTGCCAAATAAAACAAATCTAATACTCCTTTTACATGCTAGTCTTCTAAATATTTAAAAACATTCTATCACTCCTCTGTCACTTAGTAGTTGTACAAGTGACAGGGCACTTAAGCAGTACAGCAGATAGAGTGCTGAATTTGGAGTCAAAAAACCTGAATTCAGATCTTTTCTCAGACTCTTGCTCAGTAAGCCTGGACTTAATCTCACTTAACCTGTCTCATCCTCAGTTTTCTCATCTGTAAAACAGGGATAATAATAGCACCTACTTCCTAGGGTTGTGCTGAAGTTCAAATAAGATAACATATGTGAAATTCTGTGCAGATGTTAAAGTGATACATGTATATACACATGTATGTATGATAGCTATTATTATTGTGTGATTTACGAAAGTTACAACCTCTCTGGGTTTCAGTTTCCACATCTGTAAAATGAAGGTTAGGGTAAACTTAGAGGCTGCTTTTTAACCTAATAGTTTTCTATTTAAATTAAGTTATTAAAAGTTACATTAAAAAAAAAATAAAACCAGTCCCGAGGTTCAGACTTATCAAAAGCTGCATTTCATCATAATCTTAATTATTCCATACATTTTCAAGACCTTAAAAATAAAGACAAAACAAAGTTGTATTTGGATACACAAAATATTTAAAGAAGTTATACTTAGGGTTTATGTGAAAAAATTTAAAGATAAAAGATTGACAGAAATGGTGTTTATCATTAAATGTTATACAATAATTAACTAAATACATGTTTCTTAATGAATAAAAAGGATAATATAGTAGTATGGCATAGGGGATAGAGTGCTAGATTTGGAGTAAGGGATATCTGAGTTTGAATCTTGCCTCTAATACTTACTAGCTGAGTTTGTTGTTATTTTTCAGTTGTTTCAGTTGTATATGATTCTTTATGACCCCATTTGGGATTTCCTTGGCAAAGATACTGGAATGGTGGCCATTTCCTTCTCCAGCTCTTTTATAGATTAGGAAACTGAGGTAAAAAGGATGAAGTGACTTGCCCAGAATCACACAGCTCTTAAGTGTCTGAGGCTGAATTTGAACTCAGGTCTTCCTGACACCAGGCCCTGTATTGTATCCACTATGCCACTTAACTGCATTCCCATGTGTTATCACATTTCTTTAAATCTTAATTTTCTTAGCTGTAAAATGAGAATGATACTTACAATATTATTATATATTTGGTCCTTGTTTATCATATATAGTATTATAGTAGCGTGTAAGGTTGTGAGGCTCAAATAATTTAATATATGTAAAGTGCTTTGCAAACCTTAAAGCATTATCTAAATGTTAGTTATCATTATTATAAGGATAATATTGACAGCATTATGTTAAAAGAGGAAAAAGTAATTGTGTTAAGAAATTGGGCCTTAAGCTGACTTAGTTCAAGAGCCAATTTTATGAACAAAGGGGTCACACCTTTCCTAGTACTTCTAAAGTAATTTTGTCAAAAAATATAAAATGTAATAAAATGTATATAAGGACTAATTAAATGCCAGATCATCTAGTACATCATAAAGATAAAAGTTTTTTTTTTAAAAAAATACACAAGAAACAAATTACTTTGAGAATTGTACCCTGAACTTGATTTGACAGCTCTGAGAGGATCCCAGTTTTGCTAGCTGCTTCTAAAATTTGGTGCATCAACACTGTAAGTTGTGCCATTTGTAGAGTTATGCTTTCACAAGATTAACACTTACTCATACCATGAGTCAAGGAAAGAAGCTCAGACTCAATTTCAATCTTCTCTCTGACTTGTGGTTAGAAAATTTTTTCAGTCCTTTTCATACCCTCAGCCATTGCTCTGTGTGTCTTCAGAGCATCCTAAAGATCACACTTAGTGAAACTTCAAGATGTGTGGAGCTGGGGTTACATGTTTTTCATAGCTGCCATAATGCTCCTGATCTCTTTGTAAATCAACCTGGGACAAGAGAGAAGGAGTAGGCATAGCCAGCACAGCTGGCAATCTCTGCTCTAGATCATAGAACCTGGATCTAGAGCCTCAAGGAAGGAACTTCTGAGACCATCTAGCCCAATCCATCTGTTTTATACATAAGAAATCCTCAGAGTCTTAGGGAGGTTAAGAGACTTGCTCAAGGTAATGCAAATATTAAGTGTCAGAGACAAATCTGAACTCAGGCCTTCTGACTCCAGAGTTGGTTCTTTTGTTCAGTATTTCTGTTTTTATTGTGTTTTTCCTGTCAGCCACAAAATCACCGATCTGCATACATTTATTAAAGCACTGGTTCAACATGGAGGCTTACAGATAACCATCTTCTAAGATAAAGTAAGGGTCAAGCCTCCTAAATGGCTGTGTGTTGACAACCTTCTATTCTATCATTGCTTCCAGGTTAATTCTTTGTTAAATGTCTGTCAGCAGTGTTCTTGTTTTGTTCTTTTGGATGTTTTCATCTATATGTTATATATTTCTGAAAATATATCCTGCTTATACTTACCATATGTAACCTAGGAAGTTACGTTTGAATACAATAACCAGCTTGACTAGGTGCCTTCATAAGGGATATCTCAGATCTAAATGCTTTTAGCTGATTTTTTTTCTGTAATTTTTTTCTTCTAGCTTGGTTTGTCTTTAGTATACTAGCTTTCTTAAGCATTAATAAAATAGCTTACATCTGGAAAGAAAAAACAATTTTACTGTATACTCCCTCCTTACTGAATATTACTTTTGACTTATGTTTTGTGAGGTCAGCTGAGTTCATCTCAATTATAAAGGCAGAAAAAATAAGATATAGGAGAGTGAATTGACTTTCTTTTCTTTTTTTTTTAACGTATTGGTATATTTTTGTCTTTATATCAACTTCATTTCCAAATAGATCCCCTCTTCTACTACCCAGAGCATTATCTCCTTAACAGAGACAAAAAGAGAAAAAAAAACTGAAACATTTTTTGCAAAACTAACCTATATATCAATTGAGTCTGAGAATGTATGTAATGTTCCACAGCCATAGTTCTACCACCTCCTCTTCAATGAAGAGATGGAGGTGCATTTTCTTATCATTTCCTCCTGGCCAAGTTTGGCTATTATACTTAGCATTCAGTTACTTCCTCCCTCCCTTCCTCCTTTCTTTCCTCCCTTCCTTCCTTCTTTCTTTTTTTCTTTTTTTATTCTTTCCATTTATATTGTTGTAGTCTTCATGAATTTTATTTTGCTGGTTCTATATCAATTCGTATGAGTCTTTTTATGCTTCTCTGTAGCCAATTGACTTTCTCAGAGCCAGACAGAAAGTTTAGGCTAGAGACCGAACTGTTCTCAACCTGGTGCTTTTTCTTTCTTTTTCTTTCTTCTTTTGCAATGGTCATTCATCCCACTGCTGATTAAAATAGGAACTCTGGCCTGTTTTGTTTCTGACCTGAATGGGTTTGCCCTTTGTAAGGCAGCCTGGTTTCTCCCTTTCCCCACGTGTTTTCTTCCTCCCCCCGCCCCCAGTTCCATCCCCCCTGCCAAGGACTTACTACCATATTGTTGCCATACAGTATGGACACTTGATCATCTTAGCCTATTGCAGCTCAGAACTCCCAAGTTCAAGTGATCCACCAGCTTCAGCCTCCCCAGTAGCAGGGCTTAAAGGTATGTGCCACCATGCTGGGCAACCTGGTGTTTTAACTATAAGCCTTCTAGCCCTGATTAAGTATGTTAATATAGAATTCCAGAGATAATGGGGATCATGAAAGGTCACCAAATTGGCCTTCCACATCACTGCCATTCTCAGAAAGAAATTGTATTGCCTCTCTTTAAAAAGGTTTATAGCATACATGTTATAACTATTCATATTGAATTTCTCTCTCCTGTTCAGACTCACTGATTGCATGGCATATTTTTGGACCCATTCACAGAAAAGAAGCCCTGCTCTAAGACTTCCTCATGGATGAAGCAAACCTCACATCATTTATCCCTGAAACTCTTGGGAACAATTCCACCAACAGGAACACTTCCACCAACAGGAACACATCCACAGGAGATGTGGATCGGAAAATCCCAATTGTGCACTGGGTCATCTTGAGTATCTCCCCGCTGGGCTTTCTTGAAAATGGAATTCTCCTGTGGTTTCTCTGTTTTCGGATGAGGAGAAACCCCTTCACAGTCTACATCACCCACCTGTCTATTGCTGACATCTCTCTGCTCTTTTGTATCTTTATTTTATCAGTTGACTATGCTCTAGATTATGAGCTGTCTTCTGGGTATTATTATACCATTGTCACATTATCAGTGACCTTTCTGTTTGGCTACAACACTGGCCTCTACCTCTTAACAGCCATCAGTGTAGAACGTTGTCTGTCAGTCCTGTATCCCATCTGGTACCGATGTCACCGCCCTAAACATCAGTCTGCTTGTGTCTGTGGCCTACTCTGGGCTCTTTCTTGCTTGGTGACTACAATGGAGCATGTCATGTGCATTGACATTGGAAGAAAGGGCCACTCCCAGAGTGACTGCAGAGCGGTGATTGTCTTCATCTCCATCTTGAGCTTCCTCGTGTTCACACCTCTCATGGTGGTATCCAGTGTGATCCTGGTGGTGAAGATCCGAAGGAATAGCTGGACTTCTCATTCCTCCAAGCTCTACATTGTCATCATGGTCACCATTATCATCTTCCTCATTTTTGCTATGCCCATGAGACTTCTTTACCTCCTGTACTATGAGTACTGGTCGACATTTGGGAACATGCACCATATTTCCCTTCTCTTCTCTACCATCAATAGCAGTGCAAACCCTTTTATTTACTTCTTTGTGGGCAGCAGTAAGAAGAAACCATTTAAGGAGTCTTTAAAGGTAGTACTGAACAGGGCTTTCAAAGATGAGATGCAACTAAAACGCCAGGAAGACAACCCTGATGCTAGTGCTGTTGAAACTGTGGTCTGACGCTCAGGAATTTAATCATGGGGATTTATGCTGCTTGAAATTGCTGATGGGGCAACAGATGTTTCCTAGACAATCCCTGGAATGCTTTTTAAGCCCATTCTAAGTATGGCATAGCAGGTGTCCTTACCAGATGCAGGTATATGGTTGGATTGGTACCATGTACATGTACATAGCTTCTGGAACTGCCTACTCCTGTGTCATGCCTCTATTAATTTTGTACCCATCAAAACACCTTCTTCTCTTCCCTCTAAAATTTTGTCACAGCATTACTCCCAAGGAGCTGTAAAAGAGACTTATAGTTGAAAGATTTACAAATATTCCCAGAAAAATAGCAGAAGGATATGTTGGAACTTGGATTCTTTTACAATAGTAAAAGAAAAAAAGACTTAAAAAACCCAGCTTTATCATGTGCACATTCTTTATTATTTTAAAGGTTTTATTTAAAATAAAATTTTTTCCCTTATAGCACTTAAATCCAATGGAGAAGAATATCTCTATTGAAATCCTGTGCAGCTTCTGCAATCTTGAACTGATAACTCCTAATATGTTAGGCAATAATCTTAGGGTAGCATGATGTAATAGATAAATGGATGGCCTTAGGACTGAGAAAGCCTGGGTTTAAGTCCTATCTCTGACATATTCTAGTTGTGTGAACATGGGCAAATAATTTAACCTCTCACTGTCCCTGGCAATCATCTAAGACTATAAGTTACAAATGAGTTGTTGATCTCTGCTGATGGAAGGACTTTCCACACTAGGAGTTTTCTACAGTGATAAGATTGGGGGGAAAACAATTGGGGTGTGCACACCCTCCCCCTCCCCAATTACTCTCGGAGGAAGAAGACAGAACTTTATGGCTTCCTTTGGAAGAAATCTTGGTTTAAAGAATTGTCTGTATTTTTGAGTCCTTTGTATTGTATTATAAACATTGATGAGTAGAACTGGACACATCCATCCATGTTAGTGAACCAACATCTGGACTTGCCCCTGTGAAATGATTTTTCATTCATTGAAACAGACTTTTTTCTCAGAGCCAGTTTCCCTTGAGCTCTACCTCTCTATCTAAGATACTCTCTTGCTATTTTTTTCTGGATGAAGTCATGTGGTAGGGGAGGGTGCATGGGAGTATCCTGGGGAAGTGATGTTGGTAGGTTAGGAAACAGGATTCTTTTCCCAAGAAGAGTCTCTGCACAACTTCCCCAGCATCGTTGTCCACTCCCCACAATTTCACTGCTCCTCTGCAAGAATGTATGACTGCTTCAGGACTTTCTGCACTATCATGGACTGCATGTCCTTGTTATTAATTGTCATGTGTGAAATGTGCTAATTTAGAGACTCCATGCCATGCTAACTTGCCTTCTGTCCCTTTTCTAAGAGCCTCATAGAGATAGTGTTTCAAGTGGCAATTTGGCAGAGTAAAATATCTAAATTCGTAAATGAGACCTATTAGTATTTGTTTTAACTGCATGTTCCTAAAAGGATGAGAGAAGCAATGATGAAGGGGCCTGTTGTTATGGTCTTTCCTGTCCAAGGGCCTTCTCCAAGAAAACATTCTTTTCATTTCTCCACGAAAACAAGGTTGGCTCTTTCCAGCAGGGTAGCCTTACTGGGGTAAGCTAGAATCTCTCCTGCAGTGCCCATCCTCATCCCAACTGCCAACAAAGTTCAGATGCAAGGCTCTTAACAGTGAGTGACGACATCTGATTCATAGAGAAGGCAGCTTGATTCCTACAGCCCAGATGGGGTATGCAGTGGTGACATTTAGAATGGACTTGTTTTTGAGGGAAAACATGGCATCTTCACATAGAAAGTGCAGAATAAATAATGGAGGATTGGGGAACTGTTTTCTCACTCTCAGTAAATCATAGAAGATAGCATTAGTTTCAAAACAGAACAGGTCAAAACTACCTTTTCTAAAAGGGGTTTTGGAGCTTCTTGAAATATTTCTAACCAAAGGAAATTTGGAAATGTTAGCCCTACACTTAATTCCATTCTTCAAGTAAGGCAAAGTGGAATGTAATTGTGAACAGAAAGATCTTTATAACTTTTTAGCAGTACTGTTATAAAGAACTGGAATGCAGATTTCAAAATAATCCCTCAGTGTTGAGAATTCAGCTGACTTTCCTTCTTCCTCATGTCTCCTTCTGTCCCATCCTAGGGTTTGCCAATAAATAATTAATGATCACCTATGGGAGAAACATGTATACACACACATACACACGCACACACACACACACATACACACTTAATCTGCCTTATTAAGATTTTCTCCATTACTTTCTTAAGTCTAGAAAATCAACACAACAATGTATTAAGCCCTGATTTGTAAGGTTTCTTGATTCCTGGGGTATAAACACTCACACCGAAAATTTAACCAGAAGTTCTTAAGCCCTTCCAGCTGTCTCCAGCATACAAGTTTAAAAAAAAGTGAATTGTAAGCTGCAAACTATGATAGATAATATGCCAGGAAACTAAGACAAAGTAGGTGAAGGACTAGTAAAGAATTTTAACAAAAATTCACGTGTGGAAGAATGTCTACTATGTCTGCTATCTTTAGGGTGCACAGACCTAAGTCATTGTAAGCACTTGTCTCCCTTGCTAGAATGTGAACTCTTTGCGAGTAGGGGTTGTTGTTTTCTTTGTATATATATCCCAAGTACCCAGCACAGTACCTGGCCCATAGCTTGTGTTTAATAAATACTTGTTGATTGATTGATTGCAAAGTTATGATTATTTCTGAAATTTGCTGAGGCCTGAGGTGAACCCTAGAATTTTGAAAGGGTCTTTTCTCAAGGAGGGAAAGAAGGTAGCTTACACATATATACCCGTAATCCAAGGTAATATAAAATGTATTGTGGAGACAAGGCTATTTCAGAGTATTCAGAAGAGGGAAAGATCACGTCCAGCTGGAGTGATTAAGGGTAGCTTCCTGGAAGAAGTGCTATTTGAGCAGATATTTGAAGGATAAAACTTTCCTTCAACAGGTAGAGATGGGAGCAAGAGTATTCCAAGCTAAGAGGATGGGATGATTAGAAGTAAAAATATGGATGAAGGCTAAAGGCACGTTTAGAGAACAGCACGTGGCCCAGTTTGGCTGGAGCACTGGGAGTTTGGGGAAGTAATGGAAGATAATGTTGGAGAAATACATTGGGACCAGAATAAGGAGGAGTTTGACTGTCAGTGTGTGGACTTGATTCTGTAGGCAATGGGGAGTCATTGAAGGTGTTTGAGCGGGAGGATACTGTGAGTAGTACTTTAAAATGATTAATTTGGTGGTCATGTGCAGGGTAGGTTGAAGAGGGGAGAGAATGAAGGTAGATGTTGTACCCACTCACACTCTGATGCCCTGGCTCTGGGTCCATTATGTTCCTATCTTAAAGATCCTCTTTTCCCATGAAGAAGCTACTGGGGGCTCAGAATGTTCCATTCTGCTATATTATACTTAGGGGAGCTGGCATCTCTCTCCCCAAGTGCTTAAGAAGCACACCTTTCCTTCCTTTCCCTTTCTTTCCCTTCCTTTACTTTTTCTTTCCCTTCCCTTCCCTTGCCTCCACGCCATCCTTTTCCTAAAGCTTATTAGATGTCTAAGCTTAAATATTATGTCAGTACCTCTATAACATCTATAACATCTGTAAAAACTGAACTCATCTTTCTCCCTAATTCTGCTTTTCTCCCCATTTTTTCTATTTCTGTTAATGGAACCAGGAGTCCTGGACTCCTAACCTTGAATTTACTTTTGGTCCTTTTATTTTCCTTACCCTACACATTCAGTTTGTTGCCAAGTCCTGCCATTTCTACCTCCACAGTGTCTCTCATACCCAGCTTCTCCCTACCCACTACCATTATAACCCCCTAGTCCAGGCCTTCATCTTCTCTCACTGCTAGAATTCTAATAGCCTCCTAAATAATCTTCTTCCCTCCACAAGTCATCATTCTGCTATCTAAGTCATCTTCCTGATACACCACCATGATGATATAATTCCACAAACTCAGTGGCACTCCACTGCCCATCTAATAAAGTATCAACTTCTGACATTCAAGGTCTTCCACAGTCTGGTTCTACCCTCTCCATCTCATCTAACCTTATATTACTATTCTATCCAAATTAAACTACTCTTTCTGTCCTCCATTCTCATTCTTCCTTTGGTCTCTATGCATTGGCTCATGTTCTCCCCATGCCGGGAATGACTCCACTACTTTCTATCTCAGGGCAATACCTGTTGAAGTCTCTCTCTTCCTTCCAGGCTCAAATGACACACCATATCCTCCATTAAGCCTTGCTTGATTCCACCCCACTTGGGGGAAAACCATCCCTCTTCCAAACCCACTACAACTGCCAGATTCAAACCTCTATCACTTCTTACCTGAACTAGGGTAATACATAGCCTCTAGTTGTTCCTATTTACAGTCTATCTTTCATATTATATCCAGAGTAATCTTCTGAATGCAAAAGTCTGGTTATGTTATTCAGCACTTGAAAAGCTTTAGTGGCTTACTATCTATTTAATAAAACATTAATTTAGTCTGGCATTCAAGACCCTCCACAATCCTGGCTCCCACTCACCTCTACAACCTGTTTTCATAGTACCCCATCCCCAGCCTCTTTACACATTATACAAGTGAACTGGACAACCTGCATGCTTTTCCCATGCATGGCGTGCAATCTTGGTCAGTCTCCATCTCTGCCCTTCGAAGTCTTTATGCCCCCTTTAAGACCACAAGTCAGGTGGCACTCCTCTCCTATACTTTGATATTTTCCCTCTCCTTGAACCTCTCAGATCACTTTTACCTACAGCCTCACAACAAGATTTTTAAAGGAAAGATGAGAAAGCACTGAAACTTTTTTTTTTAAATCTGTGTTGAAGGTACATGCACATGCCTTACTCCTTACTAGATTATGAACTTCTTGAGGGCAAGGACTACTGAAAGTACTGAAGAAACACTTTTAAAAAGCTTGATCTGCATCATTAACACTTTCTCCATCACTTTATTAAATCTAGACAATCAACAAAACAATAAATCAAATCCTATTTGTAGCATTTGCTGATTTCCAAGGTGTAAATGCTCATGCTGAAAATTTAACAGTCCAGCTGGTTGGAAATGACTCCAACGCCTCCCTAGCCAGGGCACTGGGGATATTGAAAATGGAGTGAAGAGCTCACAACAGGATAAAGACTTACTGAAAGGAAAGATGAGAAGATGTGCTGAAAACATGCTTTGCCAATTCTACAATTCCTTCTTCCTCTTCCATCCTCCAGGCCTGACCTATGAAGTGTTACTCTTCAGAGGGTGGTGACCCAGTGTTTTACATTTCCACTGAAACCCCCCTGAAAAGAGATAATGGGCTTACATCATGAGTGATTTCAGTTAGATATAAAAGAGATTGTCATGTGGATGACCACCCTTAAAAACTGACTTAGGTGATTAGAATTGTCTTTCCTGAGAACTTAGCAACTACATGGTTCTCTTCTGTCCGATCTTCTTTGGATTCTTTCCCTTAAAACCCTAGAATGTCAGTCAGAACTGTAAGGGGCTCTATGGATCATCTAGTCTATCTCCCCACTACTATCATTTTATAGGAGAAAAGCTAAGATGCAGAGCAGGGAAGTATCTTCATAAGAATATCCTAGGATTTCATCATAGATGAGGCATTAAAGTGATTGTAGGAACTGATGATAATAAATAGTAACAATATTATAATAATAGTAATAATAATTATTATTATTATTAGGGACTGCTTCATTTTTGTCTGTTTCCTCAGAGTCTAGTGCGATGTCTGGCACGTAGTAGACACTGAAATTCTCATTGATTAATTGATTGATGACAATGCAAATAGAAACAACCCATTTCATGACCATAAAAACAATTGAAACCAACTTCTTTGAGATTGTCAACTGTTTCATGGTAAGCTCACTGGAAGCACAGCCTGAATCTTTCCCTTGTTATGTAAATTTTTTCAGTGCCTGATACAAAATCATACATCCCAGTGTGCTGAATTAAGAAATGCTTAAAGATAAAATGCTAATGGGTTTGAGAAAAATTCATTTTTAAAGGTTACCTTCAAAACTGATAATTTAAGCATTGCTAGCGATATGTTCAGGATTTTAAAATTTGCTATGAGATCTGTATCGACAATTTCGCTTTCCTGTTTTGTGTGATGTTTTATTTTCTGATTATTTCCAAATACATTTTAAAAATTTAAATAATAAATTTAAAGAAACATGGATGTGTAATAAGTTTTAAGCTATATGTCATAACATGTCAGAGCTGGAAGAGACCTTAGAGGTCATCTAGTCTTAACATTTTATAGATGAAGTTGAATGTCACAGAAGCTAACAATGGGTGTCCTCCAAAGCTCTGTCCTTGGCCTTCTTCTCTTTTCACTCTATTCTGTTTTGGTTGGTGATCTCATTGGCTGCGATGGATTCAATTATCATCTCTATGCAAATGGTTCTCAGGTCTATTTATCCAGTCCTAACCTCTCTCTTAATCTCCAGTCTCACATCTCCAACTGCCAATTAGGTGAATGAGACATTCTGGGATGAGGGAAAATGAGTTGTGTATGCCTCCATGGTTGCAAACCTGGGGAAGATGATGCCATTGAAAGAAACAAGGAAGTCTAGAAGAGGTGTGGGAAAGATGGATTTTATTTTACATATGAGTTTGAGATACTTATAGGCTATTCAGCAGCAGTTAATGACACGGGTTTTGAGCTCTAGAGAGAGATAAGGGTTAGCTCTGTATTAATTTGAGAGTCATCTGCATAGAAATGCTAGTTGGCCTCGTGGTAGCTGAGGAGGTCACCAAGAAAGAGAATCTAGAGTGAGAAGAGAAGGCCCAGGATAGGGCTTGGGGGTATACACATATGTAAGGGGGTAGGGCGTGGATGATATTCTCACAGAACCATGAAGACTGAGAAAATGTCGTGGGACTTAGCAATAAGGAGGGCATTGGTGAACTTGGAGAGAACACCTTGAGCCGAGTGATGGGTAGGGAAACCAGCCTGCAGTACACGACTGAGAAGTCAGTGGGAGAAGAGACTGTGGAATGGAAGATAGTGTTGCTCATCCTTCATTTTCAGAGGACCAATGACATCACAGATGATGTCACTCATATGTGAATTGGATTTAAAGGAGGCAGAGTTGCACAAAGTGGTCAGCCTCGCTCTCTCTTCCAGAGTCATCAAAGTCCAGTGGCAAGACGAAAGTCAAGATGACTGGCAGTGGCCCAGGATGCAGGGGACGACCTTGGCACCTTTGATGTCTGACTAAGCTCTAAGTACTCCACAGTGCCTGCTTCAGCTGCCTTCACGGACATTGGAACAAATTGTTCTCATCCTCCCATTCCACTGGGGTAGACATCCCCCTAATTCGCTGACACATTTGAGGCCTGGTCTGGCCCTTCTGCCAAGATGGTTTTACCAGGGTGTGGCTGCTGTGTGTTGTACAGCTTCTTGGAGCCACAGGTGAGAGTAGGGTGACAGGTGGACGTCAAAGGTGAATGAACAGTACTGAAAAGGGCTTGGCAAGCCCTAGTACCAGAGGTGCGCCTTTTGGGGAGAGATAGCCGGCTATTTTCTGGGGACCAAACCTGCTACTGCCCATTGGGAGAGTAAGTCTAGAGTCTGACTACAGAGATAATGTATATAAAGTGCTTTGTAAATTATAAGAC